GCATTGAGTGTTACATTGCCAATTCGGCCGGGATTGCAGGGTGTAGGCCTTAGGGTTCTGGGTTGAGTCGAGGCTTTTACGGTTTGGGGCTTAGGGCTTGCTGCATCGCAAGGCGCACAGCTGGAGAAAGATTAGCGTCGTGGCGACAGCTGTTTCTTACACACCTGTCACAAGTTTTGGATTTAGAGAATTTGGATGCAAATGTTGCCGATGCCTTGCGAACTTACGTGTAGGGCCTTTAGGAGGCATCCTCAATGGGAGCCGGGAAGATATGGGTACATAGGACAAAGATTGTACGTGCAAGTGGAATTAGGGACCCTAAGGCCTAAACTCTAAACCCTTGTCCCGAAGCCCTGAACCCTGAATCCTAACCCCGAAGCCCGAAACGCTGAAGCCGAAGCCCTAAACCCTAAACCCTATACAATCCCTATACAACCCCCTGTATAACCGTATATAATCCCTTATATAACCCCCATAATCCTAAACCCTAAGCCCTGAGGGGATTTTGGTTACTGCAACCCTGAAGATGAGGACCCTCGTGGTATCCTGCAATTGTTACTAAAGCGGTTTAGGGTTGAGGGTTTAGGATTGAGGGTTTAGGGTTCAGGGTTTAGGGTTAAGTACGATCTCATAGTACCGTATGACCATACTTCCCAAGGTTCAGGGTAGAAAGGGCCATGCAGGATCTGTAGTATCAACCATGTGACTCTTGTTATTAGACACAATAGGATCACCAAAATCATCTTCCTGTACCGGGGGCTTCTCCAAAGAACCAGACCCTGAAACTCTACACCTCTATGACATTCGATGGAGAATTGCGTTTTGGAGCGGTGCTGGAAACTTTTAGGCCCGTATTGTTCATGGTTTAGGGGCTTAGCGAGGAATCTTACCCTAAACCCTAAACCTCAACCAGCAGTTTAGAGGTTTTGGAGCTTAGGGGTTCAAGGGTTTAGGGTTAGGAGCCTTTGAAAACTCTTTGAAAGTCTCCCAACACCCGCACCCTTTGTCTATCTCGACGGACATCAGTTTAGGGTTTAACGGTGCAAGGGTTTATCGTTTAAGGGTTCAGGGTTTCAGGGTTAGGGCTCAGGGTTTAGGGCCCGGAATGCGCAGATCGAAGCCTAAAACGAAGCAGTCAATGCCGCACCCTTAACCATCCAAGCTGTACACGCTGCGCTTTTCAACCCACACCTTCACTTGAAACCCTTGAAACCACACCTAACACCTAAACTGTTCTTTAAGGCTGCAGGTTTACCCGTTCCTGATTAATGAAACATACCATCTTCGTTACTACTATTATTATTGTTTATTCCATCTTGGTGCTTAGTACATCAGACCCCTTGACGCATTGAGGCTTATACACTTGCTTTCTCTGCCTCTACTACTACTTAACCCTGCACTTCGGGCTTAGGGCTTAATGTTAATTGCTAAAATCCGCGAATTAATAGATACCGTTTATTCACGGTTCTGGGTCATGATTTTACCTGCTTTTGGGGTTCAGGTGGCCGTCTCAAGCATGCAAGCTTTTTTACCCGGGCTTCTGCCAAGTACGGAGAAGCTGCGCCACGTCCCGGTGACCATGACTGGCCTGGCTGGATGACCACCCTACTACGGACCAGGGTTGCCCTAAACCCTGAGCACTAAACCCAGTACTGCTTCAGGTTTAGGATTTTGGGCAAGCTCTACTACAACGGATCAGGGTTTCCCTAAACCCTAAACCCATAGAGTTTTGGGCTTAGGGTTTGAGGTAAGCCCTACCTGGACCGGCAAATACCTTTCATATTAACCCACAGCCCCAGGGGCTTCCATTTTGGATACCGCAAAGGCCAACCCTCTGTTGGGTAAGTCAACCCTAGACAAAGGACTTGGGTGTTCAGGGGCATCAATCAACATGTACAACTGGACTTCTACAGCTTATCCCAATCAGAAGTACGGTTATACCTCCAGCTAAATGTAGATATGCTCCGTCTCGTGAACCCTGAACGCATCCTAAACGCTACGCGCGAAGAAGAAAAGTTGACGATGACATTTGGCGCGCTTGGACCATGGCCTAAGACCTCAATCCTGTGTCTCTCTATCGGACGTTAGGTGATTTCAGACCTTTGGGTCTTTCGAGTTTGGGGTTTAGGGTTTAGCATGTATGTGTTTATTGGAAGGGTTGGAATAACCTGGACGCGTAGTCTAGTTACGCAGGTATCTGCTAGTCCCGTGAAACTGCAAGTATGAGGTTTAGGACTTGCCTCTAACCCCAAGTACCTACAGTGTTTTGTTTTTGCATACTGACCAGCGGGTTTAGGGTTAGGGGTTTCAATGTTTACGGTTTAGGTTTTCAAGGAGACTGATCTGTATCACATTCTAAACCGGAGGAAAGTAAGTGTTGTTACACTACAATCTGAAGAAATCACCTCCCCTATGCATGAACGCACCCCACGCCACAAATAATGAATACTTGCAATATAGTACCATTATAAGTCCGGGTAAAACTTATTCTCGGTTGTTGGGTGCAGGATATCAAAAGCATTCCTAAGCATGACAGCGGCACCGCAATCTCAGCGGGAAGGACGCCCTTGTCGTCTGCTTTCTCCCGATCCTTTCCAGGCTTCAGGGTTTAGGGTTTTCATGGTCCAGTCGGCTGCTGAGCGCTTAGAGTCAGACTAGATCCTGAACCGGGAAGCCGAGATCTTTGCCTGCCGCAAATAGGCAGATAACAACATCCACAAAAAGACGCCCACCAATGTTCCGAAAGACCCCGTGAACATTTATTAGAATCTACCATGAAAGTCTACCTCATACGAGGTTCCCTGTTGCTTTGGGGAAGACTGTACCCAAAAAGGTCCAAGTACCCCAACAACTGGACTATAGATGCCAGTCACAGTCAGACTGTAGTACTTGGGGCCGAAAGCCAGCTGTTTGGTTCCTTGGACCCATAGGGCTGCCGGTCAACTTCCTAGACGCAGGAATTGTGGGTCTGGGTCTAGGGCTTAGGTTTTTAGGATTTGGGGTTCAGGGCTTAGGGTTCAGAGTTCGGAGTTTGTTATTCTAGCGATTTGGCGCCTCTGACTTTGAGGTTTCAATATCGCCTGTGAACCCTGAAGCCCTATGTTTAGTGAGTCCAACGGCCTAAGCTTTACCGGTCTAATTGCAAGTGCCGAGGGATGCTAAGCCCCTGTACACTACATCCTTATCCCTAATACCTTCCCCCTGCAAACAAATCCCTAGACCCCGAACCTTAATCCCTGCCGCCTGGGCGTAAAACCCTATATCTCTAAACCCTACAGCTTGAACCCCGAACCCTTCAGTCCAGGCTTAATCCCTGATCCCGGTACGTTAACTAACCCCTAATCCCTAAACCCTGTTCCCTAAACTCTGAACCTCCGAACACTAAATCCTACAATCCCAACACCCGAATCACTAAGCCTACTGTTTCATCCCTATGTAACCCCCATCTAATCCCTACATTCCCTTTTAAAGGGACCCTCACTGAAAACCTTTGGCTTCCAGGCATCTGCCCCGGCTAAGAGCAGCAGCTGCACTACAGGCAACTGGCCGTTGCAGGCGGCAATCCAGAGCCTCTGAGCTGGGTTTGGAGATTTAGGGTTTAGGGTTTAGGGTTCATCCAAAGCCTCTGAGCTGTGTTTGGAGATTTAGGGATACAATAGGGGTTCTATAGGGATAATGAAAAAGAAAATGGAAACTACCATAATGGGGTTCCATAGGGTGTAGGGTTTAGGGGTCTAGGGAATTAGGGGTTTAGGGATTTAAGGGTTTAGAGTTAGAGATTTAATGGTGTAGAGTGCGGGGATTTTGGGGTCTAGGGATTTGAGGTTTTAGGGACCTATGGATGCCCCTAGAGTTTAAGGGTTTAGGGGTTTAGAGTGTAGGGGTTTAGGGGTTCAGGGAAATTTGGGGGGTACAGTTTGGGGTTCAAGGTTTGGATTTAGAGTTTGGCACCCGGAAGTGACAGATGGAGTTACTATGGTTCTGCCAAGGACTAATAGCATAAATAGTAGAAGTCACGACACAGCTCAACTCACATTAGCTTAGGGTTTAGGGTTGAGGGTTTTAGGGTCCCTAAACCCTAAACCCTGAACCCCAAGCCCTGACTCAAAAACCTCAAGCTCCAAACCATGCAAGCCCAACCCCTCGAAACATAGAATATGGGGTATATGGGGATCTCATCATAGTATACCCAGAGCCATATTCCATCTACTAAGGGGGACTATATAGTCTGAAGCCATAAGCCCCAAAGCACGCTGAAACCCGAAACCCCAAATGCTTTTTCATTGGAGCCCTGAAAGGGGCTAAAAGGGGTCCTCGTCTACATACCCAGAACCTCCTATGTGGCTTGTTTTTAAGTAGTGAAGTATCACCCCTTACCACGAACCCAAACGAGCCTTAAGCTCAAAATCAAGCAGCGGTGTCTTGCCCTTCTCTGATGTCCTGTCCTTCTTGGCGCCTGCGGGCGTCTCTCTCTCTCTCTCTCTGTCTCTCTGTGACCCTAAACCCCTAACCCTAAACCCCAAACCATAACCCTGCCCATTAGTGTAGAAGGAACCCTAAAGGGTTTAGGCTTCGATGTGCAGTTGGATTCTACAGATCTTCGGGAGGCTCCCACTGCACCTTATGAGCTATGGTCTAAACTCCTAGTTTCCCCCTTAGTAACCACTATAGTACAGGGCTTAGGGTTTAGGGTTTAAGGTTTAGGGTCTAGACTCCTAGTTTCCCCTTTAGTAATGGAGAATCAGATGGAAAGGAACACGGAAAATGAAATGGAAACTGGAATTATATCCGGGGTTTTAGGGGTTATAGTCTAAATTCCTACTATCCCCCTAAACTGAGCCCTACACCCTGAAGCCTAAAGCCTAAACTTAAAAGTCTAAAGCCAAACCCCTAAATCCCAAACTCTAGACCCGAACCCTGAATCCTAAACTCCAGATCCTAAACCCTGAATCCAAAACCCTAAATCCTAAACCCTAAATCCTTGAGCGAATCAATTTGGCCTGCAAAGAGCAGCAGGCTGGCAATGTTGAATTCTCCCTGCCATGCGGCTACAAACCTCCAGGCTTGGGTTTGGGTTTACGGTTTAGGGTTTAGGGCTTAGGCTTTAGGGTTTGGGTTTAGGGCTTAGGGTTTTGGTTTTGTTTAAGGGTTAGGGCCATGCAGCTACAAAATTTTAAGGCTTTTGGGGCTCAAGGGGACTTAGTCGGAAGGTTCTGAGGACACTTTAAAGTGGTCATATAGTCATGCATAGGGAACCCTAAACTCTCTGGGGACTGAGTCAGTAGGTTCTGCAAGAGACTGTAAACAGACCAAGTCCAACTAAGGAACTTATAGAAACCCGACTTGGAGGGTCCAGGAAACTTAGTAATAATGGAAAAGAAAATGAAAACTATTATATAGCAAGTAGGGTTTAGGGTTTAGGGTCAGGGGGACTTATTAAGTAGGCTAATAATGGGGATAACTAGGGTTAGTATATGGGTTTTAGGGAGTATAAACCTACCGAACTGACTAAGTCCCCCTGACCCTCTAAGTATCTATAACCTACGTGCCAAGGTACGAACAACCCAATAAGATCTAGGGCAACTATAATGCACTGTATGGGACTTATAACGGCGTTTTAGCTACAGTTACTTGCAGCTTATAGCTAGCCTGGGCCCCGGATTTCCCAAGACAAGTGCCTGTGACATCAAGGGCTGAGGGAAACATGGGGCACCCTAAACCCTAGACCCAAACCCTAAATCCTCAAACCCTTTTCTGGGATGACAGGAGCCCTGCCCAAGAATTGTTCAAGGGTTCCTTTTCGTCGAGTTGGTTTACCAAACTTCAAACGAAACATGTTTCTGAGAAGGCTCCAGAAACAATGGTGTCATGCCCGAATCGTCGGCTTCCTTGGCAACTATGGGGTTGAGGTTCCCAAACTTCGGAGCCCCTTAATTGAACGTCCCCACAATAAGGCTTTGCCTACGGTTTAGGGTGTAGGGGTTAAGGGTTTGCGGCGCAGTCAAGGGGTTGGGGCTCAAACCTCCAGAAGGTAAGCCCTATAAATACCCACATTAAACCTAGTTTCCATTTCATGTTCCATGTCCATACGATTCTCCATGATTGGGGTCATAATCCATGAACTCTACCTGACACTATGCAATCCTTAACGTGTTCAGGTAGCGTTCTAAGCAGGATTGTTTAGTAGACCGAAGCCTTACACAGACCCCTGGGGAGGCTCTAGAAAGTAGAGACGCCACTATGGTATCCCATACATCTATTGGGTAATTGCTAGGCACGCCTCAGGGGATCTACTGTCTAGATCTTTGCACGGGCCTGGGTATACCTGTGTACATCCAATCTACCAGATGTTTAGCCAAGGTTTTAGGGTTTAGGGCTTCCAAACCCCAAGCCTAGCCTCCAGTGTGCAGGGCTCATGGGTATTTCAAGAGATGGGGGTCCCCCTGTACATATCCCTAGGCTCATCTTTTTGGTGCATCCCTGCAAATGAATGGATACGACAGGCAGCGGCTTAGGGTTTAGAGCTTGGGGTTTGAGGATTGGTAGGGAAGCTTGCAACGCGGGGAGTTTATATACGGGGAAGCAGGGGCTGCAGGGAGTTATGTATGTGAGGAGTATGTAAGGTCCCTACATGGTAACTCCCTCCTATAATTGTCTAGGGCCAGCTGCATAGAACCCTAAACCCTAAACTCTAAATCCTACACCGCCCACCCTAAACCCTAACCCCCCTAAACCCTAAATCCAAAACCGCCCTCAACCCTAAACCCTAAATCGCCCTCAAGCCTAAACCCTGAACCGTAACCCCCCTAAACCCTAAACCCTAAACCGCCCTAAACCCTGGACCCCAAACCCTAAACCCATGGATGGGGCTTCAAGCCAGGGTTGTCAGCTTCCACCTTTAATCTTGAATCCATTGTTCTTGGGGTTTATAGGGTTTAGGGTGGGGTTTGCTGGATCGGGTCAACCGCACCAAGCCTGAACCCAACACCCTGTCCACCCCCCCCATCAGTGATTTTAGGTTTTCTATAGGGGTTATGTAGGGGTTAGGACTTAGGTTTGGGGGTTTAGGGCTGATTCCCCCACACAAACCCTAAACCCTAAACGGGTTCTGAGGTCTGCCAGGCAACATTCACATCCGCAGTCTCCTGCAGTGACAGCTGCGGAAGCACCAGGAATTGGACAAACTCCAGCTTGCGCCTGTAGGGTTTAGGGTTTAGGGCTGTTTGGAAGGCATTGAATTCAAAGTTTGTGATCTTAACCTCTGGCCGGTATACAAAAACAACTAAAACCGCGAAACCCTCAACTCTAAACACGAAAATCACTGAGTTCCTGGCGCTTAGAAGCGTTTCCTAGGCTTAACTATTGCGGACCACACCTGGGAGGCTTTGGGTTTCTCTATAAGCCCTGCACCCTAAACCGTATAGGACTGTAAGGGTAGCCTAAGGCACCTCAGGGGTATGCAGTAGCGGAGGTTTCAATAACTTAGGATACCTTTTCGCGGGTGTGAAAAAATGGATTGCAGTATGTTGGGGTCTATTGTTGGGGTTCCCCCTTTTAGGGGGAACAATCAAGTCATCTAAGAACTATTGGGTCCTTCGAAGCAATTGTGTAAGGCACATTTTGAGAAACTCCCATACAGGGCTGATAGGCAGACTAGGGCCGATAAGTGATGATTTGGTAGTTTCCGAAAATTAGGGGTACCTTTTTGGGGGTCCCATTAATAAGCACTATAGGATTTGGGGGTCTATATTAGGGACAACGTATTTTGGGAAACTACCGTTTGAATTCCTCAGACAGAAGGCTCCATTTGGGCTTTACAGGGGCCGCCGATGGAAATTCTCACTTGGGACCTCTCAAAATCACTGAACCCTAAACCCTGAATAGTAGTTTCCATGTTCTTGTCCATTATCCCTATGTAACCCGCATATATCGCCTATGTAACCCCATATAACCCCAAATATTACTCTGAACACTTCCTCTTCTTTGTAGGAACCCTGGTCCTTCTCCCATTATCCCTGCACATGCGTGGAGTCGCTACCTGAAACCCAAACGTATGGAGAATAATTCCCTTTTGGGCTGTTTTGAATGAGTTTGGGCCATTATTTTACCTACTTTTGGGGCCCAGGTAGTGCAAAATGGGGTCCGAAAGGATCTTCCGACATCAGTTCCTTTCAAGGTCGGCTTAAAGTACCTTTCACTCTAAGCATTATAGGACCCAATAAAGTTGCTGTATTTTTTGGGCTTCCACAAAAAAATCCTCTTTACTCTAAGGCTCCATGTAGGTACTATTTATAGGGTTTAAGGCCCAATGGAGGTATCATTTATAGGGTTTAGGGTTTAGGGAGCCCCAGGCCCCAGGGTTACTCTTGTCTTTACCGAAAGAGCCATTTCTGCCACCCTGGCACGTGTTGCAAGCTGCCCAGAGTGGGGACTGGCCGAACGCGTTGGGTGTCTTCGGGTTTGCTCCCAGAAGTATCAGCAACTCCGCAATCTTCACTCGCCCATGCCTCGAAACTGGGGGTAGGTAAGCGTAGGGCATGCTTTGCGGGACCCCTTGGGGTACTAAGGGGTTAGGTAGCCTACTTATAGAAGGTTACGACAGGGTTACTCTGTTGTCAAACGGGGGAGTAATCTATCACCTAACTCGAGGTTCCCTCAAAGTAAGGCTTTTTTAGGATAGGTCTAATTTGAAGGTTCAGGGTTTAGAGTACCTAGATCCCAAAAAGTTGGTAAATTTATGACCGCAAATCCCCTTTAAAACAGATAGAAGGGCCAGTATTCTACATACTGTTGGGGGGGGTTCCCTAAACTATATCCCCCTATATCACCCTACATAATTCCTATACTAAACCCTATAAACCCTAACCCCTACATACTTTGGGTGGATTAGAGTAAGGCTTCCAGCAACTTGGCAGCCTGAAGCCGTCCAATGCCTGGGTAAAAAAAACTCTTTGTAATCATCAAGTCAACAATCCTCAGGGTTTAGGGTTTAGGGTTTAGGGTTTAGGAGGACCCCCCACCCTGTAATAGTGGTATAATAAGAATATAAGAGGACCCTAATATAGTCCTTATTATCCAAAATAGTCACTATTACTGGGTGGGGGGTCCACCTAAACAATCCCTATATATTAGGTGGAACCCCCCCACCCAGTAATAGTGAAAATAAGGGACAATAAGGATCATATTAGGGTCCTCGTATATTCCTATTATACCACTATTGCAGGGTGGGGGGTCCTCCAAACCTATATATAAATATATCTCCCTGTAATGGTACCTATATGCACTCCCGCATCGCCCTTACGCTTGGAATTTCTCAAAACAGGGTGTCCGCAAGGATCTGTATTGAACGGGAGTGCGAAAGGACCACAAGAGCCCTCGTGATAGGCGATATAGAGCACATGTTGGACAACTCCCCCTAAAGCTATAAACCCTGAACCCTAAACCCTACACCCTAAACTCCCAAGTGACTCTTGTCCATGATCCTCGAAAAGAAGCCTCGAGGCCCTTCAGAAATAACTACACGGCTTAGGATCCCGCCCGAAACTGGCCCAAACCGTGCATAGAGCTACAGTCCCCCGCAAGTAGATAAGACATGGGGAGGGTTTAGGGATTGGGGTGTAGGGTTTCGGGATTAAGGTTTAGGGTCCCCTTTAAGTACATAGAATGTGGGGTATATGGGGATCTTCTTATAACATGCCAAAGACATATTCTATCTACGTAAGGGGGACTAGAGGTCTTTGGGTTCCGGGTCCCTGAAAGCGTATCCCTCATTTCACCCCTAGCTTAGGTTAATCCTGATGGCACCAAATGTCACCCAGGCACTCTGCTGCCATCCAAAAAGGCGTTTTTCCATTGTTGTCTGCCAGTTCAAGGTCCTTACTTGCCGGTTTTCCCATTGTTGACCCTAAACCCTAAACCCTATACCCTAAACCCTAAACCCGGCCGGATGTTCATGGGGGCACCGGTCGGCCTTGAAGGTTTAGTCGGGATCATATCGGCCTTGCACCAAAAAAGGGGGCCCATACGGGAATTATAAGGGGGATTATGGGGGCTTAAGCAAAAAGGGTGCCCATACAGGAATTATAAGGGTGGATTCTGGGGGCTTAAGCGGGAAAAACTGGAGAAACTTTCATACCGGAGCTGACAGAAAAGCGGCCAGGACCTTTGGGCGTGTTGATTGCTTTTGGTCTTAGGGCCTGGGTCAGTCCTGAGCGCGGAACCCTAAAGCCCCAAACCATGAAAAACTAAACCCTGAACCCTGAACCCTAAACCCTAAATCCTATATAACCCATTAGAGTACTTTGAATGTTCCTTTCCATAATCCCCATGTACTCCCAATACAACCCCAACATTACCCTTCATGTAAAATGAGAGCCCGAGTTCTGACGCCGAAGATTCACATCCTTAACATAGTATTATATGTATATATGTACATAGTATATATATATATATGTATATATACCCGTTCAGGGTGTAGGGTTTGTGTTTTAGGGTTTAGGGTTTGGGTTTTAGGGTTCCCCTTAAGTAGATAGAATATGGGGTATATGGGGATCTTGTTATAATATACCCAAAACCGTATTCTATCTACTTAAGGGGGACTATAACCCCATGAACATGTCCAATAGTTTCATACGACTACCATGCCCCCCTAAGAGTCCCCAGCAACCCATAAGTAGGCATCGATAACCTTACAAACAGCAGAAGCTTGACCAATGCCTCCGAGACTCAGCCTGCCATTTGATAAGCAGCTGCACCATGTCCTGCTCGGCCACTCAAGACCACAACCCCTAAACCCTAGACCCTAAATCCCTTAACCCTATTAAGCCTAAACCCCACAATCCTTGACCCTATCCGAATTAGCATCTTTTTAATGGCCAGTCTATAAGGCCATCTTTGTACTGGGTTGCATGTTAATTTCGAGGACTGCAAGGTCTGCTCTTTAGTAGGGAATGGGGGGAATGGATCCCTATCATAGGGGTTATATAGAGAATTATATTGGGGTTACATTAGCATAATGGAAATAAAATGGAAACTACTATTTAGGGTTTAGGTCCTTAGGTAATCCCCATAATGCATTCCCCCGGTTCCCTACTAAGCACCAGGGCGTAGGCTATCTACACTACTTAAAAAAATATACAGCCTGAACAAGTTCCTTAAACATGGCTGAACCTTCAGGAGGATCCCAGAAGAGCAGTACCGTAATGAGGCAGGTAAGACTCTCCTCTTGCAATTAGGGTTCAGGATTTAGGGCTTAGGGTTCAGGGTTTAGGGTTTGGGGTTTAGGGTGACCCTGAACCTGAGCTGAAACAAAAAACATATATTCTGACTCTCGCTTGGGGACGGTAGGATGCCCAGTAAGACTATACGACGTAACTTGTCTAGTCATGTAGGCCACTAGACTCTTCCTAAGCCGTATATATCACTTCCATATCCCTATATACCCTAGCCAGTTCCTTTGAAGTGAACCTTATATTTCTGGCCCTAAACCCTAAACCCTAAACCCCTAAACCCTAAACCCTAAACCTTCAACCCCTAAACCCTAAACCCCCAAACCCTAAACCCTAAACCACTAATAACAGACGCAAGAAGAGCTATGTTAGCTGAGAGATGGCTAAAGAGCTTAGGGATTAGGGTTTAGGGTTTAGGGTTTAAGGTTTACGGCTTAGGGTTTTAGAAAAGGATTTAGGGTTTAGGGTTTAGGGGTAATAGTGACTATAGGGGATAATAGGGATTATATTAGGGTCCTCTTATAGTCTTATTATACCACTATTACAGGGTGGTGGGTCCTCCTAAGGAATAAGGGTATTCGGAGCCCGCACCCCTCAGCAATGAAAGCAAACACAAAACATCCAACAAGATAAATTGGCCCAGGCACCCAGTCACCATGGAAGGCTACCGCGGCACACAGGGGCGTAACACCTCGATCCGTCTTCCGATTCACCTGCATTCAGGGCTTCACTTGGAGGGTTTGGGGCTTAGAGTTTGATCCAGCCCTAAATCCCTAAACCCCAAACCCTAAACCCCTAAACCCTAAACCCTAAATCCCTAAACCCCCCTACACCCTAAACCTTAAAACCCTAAGTTTACCGGCTCGAGCTGGTAGACGGCTTATACTATGCCTGCTTACCGTGACAAGCCTTGCCCCTGAGTCAACGTCACCTTTGAAAGCTATGTGAGCTATAGTCTAAACTCCTAGTATCCCCCTTAATAATGGAGAATCAAATGGAAAAGAAAATGGAAAATGAAATGGAAACTGGTGTTATATAGGGGATTGTAGGGGTTATAGTCTAAACTCCTAGTATCCCCCTTAATAACCCCTATAATACTCCCCTATATAATCCCCTATATAACCCTCCTTTAAAAGAGTTTAGGCTATAGCTCATGTGAGTTCTTCTGAAGA